CATGGACTGAGGCGGTAAGCTGAAATCACGCTTACACCTGCCATCTTGAAAATACGGCAGTTTAAACGGCCGCAGTTTTACAGATAAGACACATGGCCAGAAAAACGTAAAGATTTACAGTAAAGTCAGACTTGGATGAACAAAACCTGTAAAGGTTTACAGTGTGTTTAAAAATATACATGAGATTGAGAGAGAAAATGAAACGACAAAGTGGTAAATAAATAGAAAAGCCGGCATTGTGGTGGCGCACGCCGGTAGGATTTGCTGCAGAGGCAGAGGCAGGTGGATTTCCAAAGAAAAACCCTGTCTCAGAGAAAAAGAAATAAAAGTAAAAGAAATAAAGTAATAATAGATAAATAAATAAGCCACGTAAAGATGGAAAATACACAGAGAGTCTGGATACTGTACGCTATTGTGTTTTTCAGTTTTATAATTGCTCAGGAAGGAACAGCTGCTAAAGTACACTTGATTATAAATGCTGCTGAATTAATTCAACTTATATCTTTTGAAAATACCTTGACTTCAAAATTTAATTATGTTATGTAATATGTTACTTGGAAAAGGAGTTTTTATTTATGTTTCTACAGAAAATGAAAAGCTGAGGATTGCTTCCAGGCTTCTGTGGTTTGACAAACCAAGACCCCCGGAAGCAGTGGACCAGGTGTTCCAACAATTGAGACAGCTAAGATGATGCAGCTTTACAGACCCTGAAAATATGGACTTATACAGGTTTCTGAGTTTTGTCATGATCCCCATGGTATGAACAGCGTCCCCTTCCAGCATGAAGCAGTTTGGAATGAGCAACGTCCTAATTCCCATCTTGTTTATAAATCTTTGTTTTCATTTAAATGGGTTGTTTATAATTGGTTAATGATCACAGCCAGTCTCTTTTTAGTGGTAAAAAGGGGAATTATGGTATGGGTATTGTTTTTCATTTATTGATACAAATTCAAGGTCAATTTTGTGATGTATATATTTCTCCTCTTGATTAAGTATTGTGCTTATACTGATCTTTTAAAACGTAATGCATAATTGAATACAGACTATAGATAGTTACTTATAATAGTCAGAATTTATAGTTAGGTAAGTTAGGTTTTCTAGATATACAGAAATATATTTGAGACAGATAGTCTTCAAACCTCTCAAAGACCTTCAGAAAAGTGGCATTTAAAATGTTTTAGCGTTTTTCTTGACAATGAGAAATGTCTGCTCCTGGCAGCACCAATTACGTCTGAGAGGAAGATGGGCATCGAAGAAACTCATTATGGAGTTTGCTTTCAACATGGCAAGATTAGCCATTTGGGCAAGAAACTGCTCTTGCCTAGACTGTTTGACTGTTGTATAAACTGGACATGCAGGACCCACAGAAAAGTGACTGCTGAACTCAGTCTTACAGGGTTCCTGCTTCATGGAAGAGTCTACCAGGCTTTCTGCAGGACACAGAAAAATGACTAACAGACTGCCAATGCAGATGGATAGTTTTGAAATTTCTTGCTTGGCTGAGAAATCTTCTGGATACATTGTGGCCTATGGGCTGAAGATGGATGCCCCAACTTTACAGAAGAACTTTGGGTGACTGTCCAGACAGTAAGACATCTCTGTCAATCCTAGTGTTTATATATTATCCTTCTTTGGTCTTTGATAGAGTTGAAGACAGATAGCTATAATTATAGTTTTCCTTAGTTATGATAAAAGATAAGCTACATATGGAACTTTGGACTCACAAGGATGGGATGGATGATATTTTCTTTAAATCTTGCTAAAATATTGTAACTATGTTCTTATTTGATAACTGTTCTGTTATATACAATTTGACTGTGTTAAAGTTAAGACCTTTCTTTTTGTTTAAACAGAAAAGAGATGTTGGGGAAGTCTTATATCAATAAAACACTGTTGAGCCAATAGGAATCTAGATAGGAGGGACTAGGAGTCGAGAAGGATTCTGGGAAGGAGAAACACAGGAGAGTCAACATGTGACGCCATGGGGTAGGAAGCCTGGAACTATTCTCCGGTAAGAGACATACTTAGATTAACAATTATGGGGTAATTACTTAAGTCAGAGCTAGCCAGTAAGAAACAAGCAAGGCCAACAGCTTCATAATTAATACAGCGTCTTGTGTGTTATTTGGGGACTACAACGTGGCAGAGCCCAGGCGACTGGCGGGTGATAAACCAAAGCGGCTAGCAAAGAAAAAGCTTCTCTTAACAGCAAAAGATACTGACAGCCTACAGAACAGGAAAATGTCTTTACTAGCCAACCATGCAATGGCAGGATTAGGATGTAAAATGCATAGACAATAAATAAATAAATCATGCAACCTGATACCCAAATGGGCCATTAAGTGACCAGAATTCTCAAAGGGTGGACTACAAATGGCCACTGCAGCTCCTTCCTCCTCAGACCCACCTGAAAGAATGATTTCTATGGTGGTGTTCAAACCTTTATTGGATCTAATTGTTTTGTTGGTTTTTGTTTTAAGATTATTTATTTTATGTATGAGTGCTCTATCTGCATGTATGACCTTATGCCAGAAGAGGGCATCAGATTCCCACTATGGATGGTTGTGAGCCACCACGTAGTTGCTGGGAATGGAACTCAGAACCTCTGGAAGAACAGCCAGTACTCTTAACTGCTAAGCCATCTCTCTAGCTCCCTTTTGACTCCAGTTTTTTTTTTTAATTACTCTACCAAATGTATTATGCATAGTATAAAAAAGCTTCAAAAGGCCTCCAGAATTCAGAGCAACCTCCAGAAACGAGACATTTTATGCTACCACTTGCCACTATTTGGAATCTTTTTAGCCTTTAAATGAAGCTTGTTTGCCGAGTAAATCATCTGTACACTATCTCATTAACCTTTATTTTGATTTTTTCTTGTTTGACAGTAGTGGGTATCAAAGCCAAGCATAACCACATTGGAGAAATGTTCTGAAGCTGACTTTCAATAGTAGCTTCATTTCCACCTCACAAATATTTGACCAGTGTTTATTCACCAACCCTCAATTTTCTCACCAAATTGTTACAATTACTCTTCTTATAACAATATAGACAGAGCAGAGAGTCCCTCAACTTTGTATGCTTAATTCTGAATGCTGGCATATGAAGGATGCTTGAAAACTACCATGTAACACATGCATGCATCTAATATCTGTAATACATGTATATCTACACACAGGATGGGTTAAGTCCTTCTGTGTATATGCTTTGTCCTATTGGTTGATACACAAAGCACTGTTGGCCAATAGGAAAGCAAGATAGATGGGACTAGGAGAGGTGGAGGATTCTGGGAAACAGGCAGTCAGTTATCATGTAGGACACAAGAGAAGAGGTCCAAACCTTTTCTCCGGTAAGAGAAGACCACGTGGAAATACTCAGATTAGCAGTTATGGGTTAATAATTAAGTCAGAGCTAGCCGATAAGAAACCATAGCAAATGGCCAACCGCTTCATAATTAATATAGCATCCTGCTGTTCACTTGGGATTGATACAACTCTGGGACCAGACTAGCATGAAGAGTATACGTTACACAAACACTAACATTTTATTCTTAATTGTGTGTATCTGGGCATATACAATTAACTGTAGATGCCCAAAGAGGTAAGATGGTACTGTATGCTGGAGTTACATGCAGTTGTGAGTAGACTGATACAGTTGGGAACTCAACTCTGGCCCTCTGCTAAGTCATCTTGCTAGCCCACATAATGCATGTTTTCTGAGAAACATAAGCTTCATTGAAAACTGGTGCTGTTTTTGTCCATTACTAGCCTTGTACTAAGAAAACTTAAACATACTTGTCATTAATAGCTATTTAAGAGACAAGAGATTATAAGCAATTGACATGAAATGGCTTATGTATTTCTATTGACATGAAACATAATGGACTAGCCCATTTCTGCTTATGTATAGTTAGTTTGCTTACATATGTCTGTGTGACTACATTACCAACCTTAGATTTACATCACCTCAGTGCAAATAGTTTCTTTAAACATTTCCTGTTGATGCTCTTTGAGACAGTGTCTTACTGGTCTTCAATCGTGCGCTCAAACTACTCTGCTTTGGCCTTCTATAGAGAATAGGGACCACAGGCAAGCAAAATCAGGCTAAAGTTAATTGCCAACCATATTTTAAAAAGCAAAATAATAACAAAGGTGAAAAGTCAAGATGTATTGAGAAGACTGATGATGAAAAATAATAAAGTTGCAATGCTATTAGATTGACACATTTAATAGCTGCAACTTCTGTCACTTCTTCCTTAAAGGCAGCAACATTACATTTAAAAATACTTTGCTTGGTGCTGGAGAGATGGTTCCGCAGTTATAAGTGCTGGCTGCTCTTCCGGAGGACGGGGGTTGGGATTCCCTGCACCCATGACAACTCATAGCCATCTGCACTTTCAGTCCCAGCATACTTTTTTGGAGGCTGTTGGTTCAGCCTGGCCTCGAACTCCCAGAGATCCGCCTGCCTCTGCCTCCCGAGTGCTGGGATTAAAGGCGTGCGCCACCACCGCCCGGCCCAGCATGCTCCTCTGAACTCCACGGCCACTGCACAAACATAGTGCAGGCAAAACACCCATACACAAAAATACTTTGCTCAGTCAGGTATAGAATATTTGCCCAATTGATAATTAAAGTGGGATCCCAGGATAGAGCATTGAGTAGTTTTGTCCCAATGGCACTAAACTGTGTACTAGGCCTGGCTTAAGGAGGTCTAAGCACAACAGACACATGGGTGGGCTATGACAGCCAACTTTCACATGAGGAATTTATTGTGGGTTACCTTTTCCAAATAGTATTACTACTTTCGTGTAATAAGAAAGGAAAATTATGCAAAGGCATAGGCAGTATCATGAATTAGAAGAACATTTTAGTAGGTATTTTGGTGAGTTACTTTGGTATACATATGTTTTTATGAGACACACTGATGTCATAAGCTCAGCAAAATAGAGCATACTCATGTAAATAATCAAGTTTTTAAAAAGAAAACACTCAGAACTTACTGTATCTCTTTCATGTGGTTTATTTTAACCCATTCAACCCAAATTTATCTTCAATATCTTCAATTTCTTTAGAACTCAACCACAAGAGAAATTTTCGTAAATTTTATCTTATCGGTAAACTCACAACTTTCTTCTATTTACAGATAATTCCATTTAGTTGCAGTTGGTTCTTAAACCTCTCAAGTGTTTAAGCCCGGTAAATAGCGTAAGCTTCATTTACTACTGTAATTGTCTAGCCCCGCTTTCTCACTGCTGGGATGAAAACAGGCAGCAGCACATCTGGCATACAGGTTCTCTTCTTACAGAAACCTGCACGCGAGGACCAAAGTTACTCTTCTGCAGCTCTCATACTCCAGTATCTCTCCGCTTTCTTCTTCCATACCTCAAGTTGACATCAGACATTCCCACGATTCACACCGGTAGAAATATTACTCACTGAGTTTTTCACTGTGAGTTCTTTCATGTCTGAGAAGGTACGTGGAACAGGTAAAGGCTTTCCCACACTGCTTACATATATAGGGTTTTTCTCCAGTGTGATTTTTTTCATGTATTTGAAGGGATTTGGAAAAGGTGAAAGTTTTCCCACACTGAACACACATGTATGGTTTCTCTCCAGTGTGAGTTCGCTCGTGACTGTAACAATCATCACGTTGGATGAAGGCTTTCCCACATTGCCTACATACATACGGTTTTTCTCCAGTGTGAATTCGTTCGTGTCTTCTCAAAGAAGTTCCCTGACTGAAAGACTTCCCACACTGCTTACACACATAGGGCTTTTCTCCACTGTGAGATCTCTCATGTATGTGAAGGGATCTGGGGAAACTGAATAGTTTCCCACACTGCACACACATATATGGTTTCTCTCCAGAGTGGGTCCTTTCATGCTTGTGACATCCAGTGGCATAAGCAAAGGCTTTTCCACAATGCTTACATACGTAGGGCTTTTCTCCACTGTGAGATCTTTCGTGTATGTGAAGGTAGGCAGAACATTTAAATGCTTTCCCACACTGCTTACAAACACAGGGCTTTTCTCCAGTGTGAATTCTTTCATGGTAATAACAAGCACTGGAGTAGGTGAAGGCTTTCCCACAATGTTTACACACAAAAGGTCTCTCTCCAGTATGAATTCTTTCATGGATGAGGAGTTGGCAGGACCGAAGAAAGGCTTTCCCACACTGTTTACAAGCATACGGTTTCACGCCAGTGTGAGTCCTCTCGTGGTTGTAACAGGTTCTGCGATCAATGAACCCTTTTCCACAATGTGTGCAGACATAGGGTTTCTCACCAGTGTGGATTCGTTCATGTTTGTGAAGCTGTGAGGGACGACTAAATGCTTTTCCACACTGCTTACATGTGTGACGTTTCTCTTGAATGTGACTTTTTTCATGCCAGAGAAGGCTACAGGAATCACTCCACACTTTCCCACATTGTTTACAAACATATGATTTCTTTTCAGTGTAAGTTCCCTCATAATCGTGATCAGAAGTGAAACTATAAGCTTCATTAGACTGTTTGTTTTCATAGGGTTTCTGTCTCATAGGAGGGCTTTTATGTATCCGAAGCAACTCAGAATAGCTGAAATCATTCCAACATTTCTGATATTTAAAAGCCTTTTCCATATGTTCCTGGAACTGGTATGGTTTCTCTCCAGTCTGACCTTTGAAATGTGTATCTGAGGGTAAATGAGCAATCATGTCTCTTTCGCACTCATGTACTGCAGGAGGCATGTTTTCATTCACAACATGCTCTGGACTCTGTCGGCAGCTTTCTCCACTCGGACCCCCATCATCATATTTACAGAGCCTCTCAACCACCAGAGTTCTGCACAAAGGGAAAAAGGAAATACTAAGAGATAGCAGCATTAATCATACATGGCACTAAGCTATAAACAGCAGTTGAACATTCATAATGCAAAATGGCTTTCATTATGGCATTTGAAATAAACGAGTAATTGTTCTCATGGTTTAATAAAGATGGGTCTCAATCTAAATCCAAAATTCACTTTACCTCACACACACACACCTTTTAGTCAAGTCTAAGAATACTTGATTAATAATCTGAAGGTTTGTGCATAAAGGAAAGTTGTATAATGAATCATAGGAAAATGTCATATAATGTTATGGGTCTTTCAATATCCTAAGTACTCAAGAGGTTCTCAGATATTCCCATCATCACCGATACTCGATGCATATCTTTTTTGTGACAGTAAATTACCTCAGGGTTCCCTTGGGCTTCTGGTACTCCTCTTCAATATCTTCTTCTTCTGTTTTCCCTACAAGTATACCCAAAGAAACTACGTAAAGACTTACTCAAAATTACATTTTTCTGTTATAATATGACCAAGCATGTGAGTGACACTGGACAACATTGTGCTTTAACTTTTTAGAATCATGCAACTACACAGATGAACAAGAAACAACTGTTATGATTCATGTAAAGGAATCCAAGTGGTTTTGTTTTTACCTATGGAGATCAGGTTCAAAAATGTCTCCTTCATCACATCTCTGTAGAGCTTCTTCTGACTGGAATCCAACATAGTCCACTCTCCTAAGGTGAAGTTCACAGCCACATCCTCAAAGGTCACGGGCTCCTGAAATAATCCACATGCATTTACGGGAAGAATAGTGGGAAACACAGGCGATACATAGCCACATGATTATTAGTTTACTTCATGCTTTATTCTTCAAATAGTCACTGTACATCAGCTGCCCCCTGTATTTCCACCTTCTAACTTTTTACTTTTCCCATGCTTTCAAGTGTTTGCAGTACATAACATACAGTACTTATCCTTCCTCACTCAGCCTAGTTATAATGATGGTGTTGGAGTTCAAAACATTTTCTGAAAATGACATGATCTATTTAAGATGTGTGTGTGTTCATGGGTTAGAATGCTGTGTGTGTGTGTGTGTGTGTGTGTGTGCGCACGTGTATGCACAAAGAGGCCAGAAGATGGCATCAGTACACTACCATCTGCCTCCCACCCCCAAGCTAGAACTTATGAGTTACAGAGCATATATGCTGGGAACCAAACTTGGTCCTATAGAAGTTCTCTTAGCCATTGGGCCTTTTCCCCAGCCCGTTACCTTTCTTCTTTATAGCCATACAATTCACCATAGTGTTTATATGCATTATACACAGAGACATATACATAGATCACACATTTACATACACTATTTATTATTTGTTTGTTTGTTTATTTTCGGAACAGGGTTTCTCTTGGCTTTGGAGGCTGTCCTGGAACTAGCTCTTGTAGACCAAGCTGGTCTCGAACTCACAGAGATCCGCCTGTCTCTGCCTCCCAAGTGCTGGGATTAAAGGCATGCACCACCATCGTCCAGGCTACATACACAATTTAATAAACATATAGATCATAATTTACCAATTTATTCACTGATACAGAGCTAGGCTTATTACATGGCTATCTTAGAAGTAGTGGAGCAGCAGTGTAAGAGATAAAAGTCAAAAATCAAGACATGGAAAAAAAATCAACCTAAAATAGATGGAAGTTTACTCAATACTGAGGGAGAAAAACCATCAATGATATTATCAGCTAAAACCCAGTGAGCTATAATACCAACCTTCCAGGCAAGTGCAATAGTAGCATGAACGTTATTGAGATGTGCCGGCCAGTTTTATATCAATTTGACAGAAGCTGGAGTCATTTGGGAAGGGGAAAATTCAACTGGAAAATAAAAAATGCCTCTACTATATTGACCAGTGGGCAACCTGCACTGCATTTTCTTGATTGATGATTTGATGTGTGAGGGCCCAGCTCATTAGGTAGGGCTATCCCTAGGCAGGTGGTCCTGAATAGCATAAGAAAGGGAGTCACGGAGCACAAACCAGGAAGAAGCACTCCTCCATGGCTTCTGCGTCAGTTCCTGCCTCCAAGTTCTGCACTGACTTCCCCCAGTGACGGAATGGAAATGTAAGAAAAGTAAACCATTGCCCCCCCCACCATGTTGCTTTTGGTAATGATGTTTTATCACACAGCAACAGGAATCCTAAACAAGACACTGGGTAAACAACTGCTTTCTGATTGGATTTGAGGTGTTCTTCACAGGAAAAAGACACACTTGGTGCTCTAAACCTGGTCAGATGTCCATAGCTAGGAAGTTACAGGCCCTACGGGGGAACCAGCTACTGCTGCCTTTCTAAATCAACATGCTATGTAACACTGTTCTCTAAGTATTTACAAACATACCCACGGACATGCACTGCTCTCTTGGGGAGGAAGCATTTATTTGCAGTAGCTAACAGTGAATGCAGAGACTATTCAGCTGGTCAAAGCACTAAGAGTAGGCGACTGTTGAGTGCTCAGAACTAAATGGGACATAAAGGAGAGGTGTGAAATGCTGTCTTTTGGACATTGCATAGCCAATGTACTCCTGAATCCATAAAGGCTGTGCTTACAAGATGGTGCCCACCAACGTTCCATCATGAACAAATGAGGGGTTCTTGAGGGCTCACCCCTTTCAAAGGGACACTGGTTGTGATGGTTGCTGGGGAAGGAATCAGTTTTGTACAGTGCTATAGTTGTCCACACTCCAGTAAAAGCAAGCCAGTAACTGGCTGTGGTGGCACTTGTATTTAAACCCCAAAAGATGGAGGTAAAGGCAGACAGAACTCTCAAGTTCCAGGCCAACTAGAGCTAGAAAGTGAGGCCCTGTCTCAAAAAAAAATGTATTTAAAAATCCCCACATGTTCATTCAAGCAATCCTAATTAAATTCATTAGGTCACAAACAGGACTTGTTAGGAAGAAAGGTTTCAGCAGAAAAAGTAATGAGAGTAGTTAAGGGTATGTGAAATAAATGTATACATTTTTCAAAGAATTAAAATTATTTTCTGACTAGCACTCAGCTATTCTAAACTATGAGATCATACATTTGGATAGGAAGGTATTTTTAGTGTATGCCAATATGAGCACTTCCTTTACATTCCCCAACCATATAGACAGATTATGAGGTAATTTAATTTTAGATCTTTGAGGACATCCCATCCTGCTGGACAAATCTGCATGACTGTGTTACCAGTTTCTTCATCTATGTTCCTTTTCTCTCAGTGACATCTGTCATGAAAAGCTGAGGCTGATTCTCAATTCTCTTAAATAGATTGTCATGCCTTTGCTGGTCACTTGAACTTCAGAAGTATGTTTATAGTTAGATGGTAGTGGCACACGCCTTCCATCACAGCACTCCTTTGAGTTCAAGGCCAGCCTGGTCTACAGAGCGAGTTCAGGGCCAGCCTCCAATGCTACACAGAGAAACCCGTGTCGAAGAACCAATAATAATGATAATGATAGATAGAAGAGTATGTTTACTCCATTTGCCTGTTTATGTAGATTTCAGTTTCCCACTTCCTGTTACGTTCTTTATATATATAATACTCTAGATATTAACCCCTGTCAGATGTCACCTAGCAGATTTGTCCCCATTCTACAAACTGTCTCCATTCATCTCCATTGCTAGGCCAAAGATTCTTTCATTTGATGAAATGCAATTAGTGAGTTCACGTTTTTGAGTCGTAGTCTGGAAATCATCTTTTGTCTGCTCTATTTGTTCACATACTTTCGAAGACTCCAGTTGACACAGACTGTGTTGATTAATAATGACTGAAGGTAAGGGTAAAGTTCACTATTCTTTTAAATAACCAGCTTTTATAGCATGAATAATTGAAAATCTTATCCCCTCTTCAATACTTGCTTTTTGCATTCTTTTAAATGTCATTTTTAGGCCGGGCGTTGGTGGCGCATGCCTTTAATCCCAGCACTCGGGAGGCAGAGGCAGGCGGATCTCTGTGAGTTCGAGGCCAGCCTGGTCTACAAGAGCTAGTTCCAGGACAGCCTCCAAAGCCAGAGAAACCCTGTCTCGAAAAAACCAAAAAAAAAAAAAAATGTCATTTTTAGGGTGATGGTATAGCTATGGCCATCTGCTCTGTGGTTCTATTTACTGGGAATTTCATCCTTTCACTTTACTCCTTGCAAGTTTCAGGAAATGAGCATTTTGGTAAAAAAGAATATGGAATTTAAAACTCGATGAATTACACAGAACACAATAAAATACACTTGGATAAGCAGAGTAACACAATAAAATACACTTGGATAAGCAGAGTAAAGATGATACGGAGCTTGCAATCATCAAAATATAATCAAATATCAACAGACAAACCAAAAAATTGACATCACCACAACAATCAACAGCCCTGAGATAGGATAATTAATCAGACCTAAGCTTTTTCATAATATTTTTATTATCTGGGAATTTCACATCATGAACCCCAAGTACCCTCGCTTCCTACTGCTCCCAGGGCTGCATCCCAACCCTTGAAACCTATCCCCCTCCAAAAAAAAAGAAGAAAAAAATTTTATTATTACTATTGGTTTTTTGAGACATGGTTTCTCTGTATTGTTTTGGAGGCTGTCCTGGAAGTTGCTCTGTAGACCAGGCTGACCTTGAACTCATAAAGATCCTCTGCCCCACCCCATCTCCACCCCTTAGTGCCGCACCATATGGCTAAGAAAAGTTTTTAAAAAGAAAAAGAAACCAGTCCTATTTGTATTGCCCATAATTTCACTGGAGTATGGTCAAACTCCCTGTGGCCAACCCTTTAAAGAAAACTGAGTCCTCCACCTGTACCCTCACCAGAAGCACTAAATTCTGGAGAGCTACCCTTCAGTATCCTTATCACGATTTTATTGTTTTGTTTTTGTTGTTGTTACTTTGTTTTTTGAGACAGGGTTTCTCTATGTAACCATTCTGGCTGTCCTGGAACTCACTCTGTAGACCAGCCTGGCCTCAAACTCACAGAGATGTGCCTGTCTCTTCCTCCTGAGTGCTGGGATTAAAGGTGTGGCCGACCACAGCAAGCCCCTAATCACAAATAAGAATTCTCTTTGATGGCTTCCTGTCTAGGCTATTGTATCCAGGCTGGTTTTTTTTTGGGGGGGGGACAGGGGTTATCACAAAAGACTTTGTCCTTCTTTCTCAACTTCAAGCCTAATGGGAAAGGGGGAGGGGCTGAAGAGATGGCTTAACACTTAGCCTAAAAATCCATAAGACAGGGGGAAGAGATTAAAGCTTAAAGGCAAAGGGAATCTATTCAATGAAATGGTAACAGAAAAATTCTCAAATCAAGACAGGCATCGAAACACAAAGAGCACTTAAAACTCCAAACAGATACGAGAAAAGAACTTCAGAACACACAGGAAGATGTCAAAAAATAAAAAAGCAATGAAGTAATATTACAAGCTGTAAGAGGAAAATGCTGACTCACCTTATTGCAAACCCTCAAAACCAGGAAAGTACACACTAGTAGGATATGCTGAAGAAGCCAATAATATACCCATATGTGTAAACAAATGTTCATATGGGTACAGTATAACACATAGAAAACAGAAGGAAAGATAAACGGAGATGAGGAAGGACCGAATACAGGTAATAAGACAGGAATGAGCATACAAAGCTAAGTTTTTCTAATTCTGTCATGGACTTTTGGGGGTCGGTGGCAGATAAGTACATAAAATATGTTCAATACTAAAGGCATAAAATTGAATGTAAAGTTTCACAGCTTGGCGTTCCATCCAAATGCCA